AGTTTTGTTTTATTCATGCATGTTGTGTTATTAGTTAGTCTGTCTACATCTCCAAAGCCCAAAATGCTCTCTTCCACTTTGTGATGTCATGAAGCAGTAGTTTTTAAGTTAACAGTTACCTCTTACCATTTGTTCAGTAGAGACTGGAAATTCCAGGGCTGAAATGATCCAAATGAATCTAGTGACAAAGTATGGAGTTTAAAAACACAGTGGAGCACTTCCTGTATTACCACATGACATCACAACTCCAGGTATGTTTTTGATGATGAAACACTATATATATATATATATATATATATATATATATATATTTTTTTTTTTTATTGTGCACTATGGGCCCTTTAAATAATCTACTCAAAAAAGTACCGTGACACAAATATCTACTAATATCTATCTATTACAGCATTACCTACTTTCCACCCCAGTATTATGTTGCTAATTTAAAGATGTTTTTTGTGTGCTATACTGTGTTGACCTGATAGAGGATTTCAATGTTGTTATTTGCCAGGTTGAGAAAAACCAGGCGTCCCAGGCCCCGGAACGCGCCCTCCCGAACCCAGCGGATGTTGCAGCGCTGCAGGGACAGGTGGGTCAGGTATGGGGTGTGACGGAACGCTCCAGTGGGCAGCTCCTGGATGTCATTACTGCGGAGGTCCAGCTTCACTGTAATCTACAACAAGGGTGTAAGAAATAATAATACGCAAAATGGACAGTTGTAAAAAGTACTTTATGACTTAACGTGGTAGTAGTAGTACTACTTAACGTAGTAGTAGTAGTAGTAGTGGTCGTGTGTGTGTGTGTGTGTGTGTGTGTATGTATGTATGTATGTGTGTATGTATATATATATATATATATATATATGTATATATATATATATATGTATGTATATATATATACACACACATTTGTACTCAAGTAAAAGTAAAAAGGACACACGAAAAATACTACTCTAAGTACTATAGTTACTTTTATTACTTTTAAAGACAATTTTAGATCAGTCTTTTAAACTAAACTTGATAAATCAAACAAGTACAGATAGGTTTAAAATCTACTCAAAAAGTACAACTGCATGAGTATTTGTAATTAGTTGCTTTCCATCCCTTGTAAAACACATTTTTGTTTGTCTACCTCATCGATGGTTGGTGGAACTTCTGTGAGGTTCTTGTTGACACAGGCCACAGTGAGTTGGATCTGATCGCACACACACTGTTTTGGACATTTGGCAGAGAGGACAGCAGGGACACATATCAGCAAGCACAGCGCTGAGAAGGACCACAGGAAGGGCATCTGGGATAGTTGCAAAAATAATATGAAGGAATTAGGAGGTGACATTTTGGAAGACAATGCAAGATGTTAGTACAAGTAGGCTTACATGCAAATAAGTTTTCCATGAATAGAAAGAAGTAAACACTGTCCACTATTAAAAATGTTCTGCTAAGTGGCCTGTCTGGTGAGTTGTGACACTTGTGATACTGATGCAAGGTACAGCCAAAACTCAAAGTCAAAAAACTGGTGACTGACGTGGTTTTTCAGATGGCACAAAGTCTATGTTTTGAATGTTAAGACGGGGCTCCAGACGTCACTGGAATGCTCTAAAACCACAGTCCCAGGTCGGATCAGAGGTCTTGATCCGTAGGAATGAACCTAGAAAAGCTCCCCAGATCCCTAGCTCTACATTTTGGAGTCTTAAAATGTTAGCACGGTGGAGTGGTTAAGGTCTTGTACAAACTTCTGAAGTCCATATAGATAAAAAAAAAAAAAAAAAGAGGTATTGCCTATACATTGAAATATGTGCTACACTTAAAGTTTGTCAAATTGTCACACTTCAAAACACAATTTCAGTTTTCTTATCCTTTGACTACAAATTTCAACACGAGATAAGAAATCCCGAGGTCCACCAGCAATGTCCGAGGCGAGAGGCCGCGGAAACCAGAGCCAGAGGAATGTCCTCGCAGTGTGTGCGCCTCTCCGGGAGCAGACCGCAGAGGTGCGTCGCTGCGCACAAAGACGCAGTGTCTGTGCCCCTGCCGCCGTGGTGCCAAAATGCGTCTCGAGAAACGTGTCATAGGTTTAAGGCCAGTGAAAACGACAAAGGGATTTAATTGTAATGGTAGTGTTTAGGTCCAAGAGCTAATCAACTTTATGATCTAAGTGCTTATTGCCATTTAACGCATTTATAATCTCAAATTCCGATTCGGTTTTAAACCAAAGCGCTTCTAACAAAACGCCCGTTATATTTTCCATAGCAGAAATCTTTTACGTATAAAGTGGACTCACCTTGCTTTTTTTTTTTTGGCGATGTTATTTAATCCCACAGTTGATCTCTTGGCTTATGCCCTCTCTGCTGCTCTCCCCCGGGCTGCCCCTCATTCAAAACACCACTGAAGTATCCTCATATTCACCGCCACTCCCCCCGCTTCCCTCCCGCCACTACCGCTACATCCAGGATACGACCTTACAACGTTTACATACACGCAAGGAAAATTGGCCCCCCTCCTTCGGTTTGATCAGGACTGCCAAAATGTACATACAGTGTGAAAAAAAACATGATAAAAGAGTGAAAAATATGCACTACTGGCTCAGAATGTTTAATATATTGCTATTTATTACAACTGCAAAAACTGACTTTTGTTGTCCTGCCTGAGGGTAAACATGTCCCTTAATCTTCATCTTACATTGAGGTAATATTGTTTAACATGTTTTTAAAAAAAGACATTTTTACAGACATTGTGCCTCATCCAGTGAAAGAAACTTGTTATTGTGGTCCCAGGCCCTATACAGCAGTGACTGAACAGACCGTCCTAAAGGTGGTCAGACTGAAGTGCTGAACTCATTTCAAACTAATTTAAAAAATGCCCAACATTTTATATTTTAAATTTGCCAATTCAAAGCAAGAACTATTTTTCTATAAAAATATGTAATAAGTATTAAGTAAAAAAATAGAGTTTCAGGACAGTCTTCATCCCAAAATATACAAACGAAAAAGGAGACCAGTGGTTGTCCTCGTCCCTTGTTCAAGTTTAAAGGCTTTGCTTATGATTTTGGAGGAGATCAGTCTTCTTCACTGTTGCGTGTATTCTCAAGTGTAGACATCAGCGTATCTCTGGCACTGCTGCAGGACTTAAGAGCCTCCGTGTTCCTAGTGATATAAAAACAATATTGTAGAATCGTACGTCTTGATCTACAGGAAGAACAGGTGGACTTACTTGGAAAGAAAAGTGTAAAGGAGTGAGGTGTAATCTGGTTTAAAATAGTTTTGTTGGATTGCGTGTTCCAAACAGAGCAGTTGACCAGGGACCAGACTCATCTTCTTTACTTTGCCTTCACCCTGAAATGCAACAACAAATTAACTGATGTGCCATGGCATTGTAAAAAAAATATGTTGTGATTTGGTTGGATAAACCTTGTAACTACAATATTCTAAGAAAGAGAAACAGAAGAATGTATTACCACCATGATCAAAGTTATCAGTTTCAGATCTGAAATCAAATAGCTTGGAGTTTACTCCACTCTGCTCCATTTTAATTCATAGTTTGTTTAAATACATATTTTTAATGAACTTTGTGCAAGTATATAGTGGAATTTTGATGTAACGAATCTAATTTCAAGTTTATCACAAATTTGATTTGATTCAGCTATTTCAGCACCTATAAATGTATCTGAGCATGTGCACTTTGAACAAATAAAACTGTGCAGGGTTCCACTCATCCAAATGTTTGTCCAGTTGAAATTTCAGTAGACATGAGCTGTACCTTAAGCAGTCCCATCATAACCAGCAGTGTGGAGAGGAAGCAGTACGACTGCAGGTCTGAGCCAGAGAGGCACTTTTTCATAACACCATCTGACAAAAACAATGTAATCAGTTTTTTTCAGTATGATCTCAAAAGTAAACACTAAAGCTACATCCCTTATTTCTCAGTCCTATCAACAGCTAATAGTCAAAATACATTTATTTTAGAATAATGACCAATAATTTCCAGTACAGCTTCCTTGGCTTCAGGCTCGTCACAATATAAAGCAGCAACTTTCAGAAGGAGTTCAGCGGCTTTGTGCGGATCAGAGGTCTCTACCTAAAAATAAATCTCAGTGAAACACTCAACAATTCAAACACAATGGCATATAGCTTATATACTTTACCTGTAGTTGCACATTTACACGTGTCTCTCCCAGCTGAATGAGCTTCTCTACTGTAGGGCTAGTGAGAAAAGCCATCACTTCTGCCTGGTTATGGAAAGAAACATCAGTACCAACACACTGTAGGAGTTTAAGTGTTGCATATGGATCATGGTCTTACCGAGCAAGTAGGTTTTGCGGGACTGTCCTCACTAATAAATCCTTCCTTCTTCCCAGAGCCACATTCTTCTTCATCAGCCCCATTACCACTGTCATTTTCATTTTCATCCTCTTCATCTTCATCATCATCCTCATCCTCGGGTTCTCCTTCATCATCACTAAGGTTACAGAAATATTATTAGATCCATTTAAAATGGTACTTTGAAGTTTTATTATACAGTGAATGCGGCTCTACCTTAGTGATGCAAGCATTTCTCCTTTTTCCCTTTGTTCCATAACCTCTCTCAAAGCCTCACAGCCCTCCTCCCCCAAGCAGTTTCCTAGAAAAGTCACTTAGTCTTATTAGTCAATTCCACAATAAGATTTCATTGAAAAAAAGTCACTTGTGTCCCCTAATTGACATTTTTAAATGAAGAACAATAGCGAGCACTCTTTGAATTCATGTTTACCATTAAGATCCAATATCTCCATGTGAGATTTTTCTGCAATAGCTTTAGCCACCACAAGAGCTGCTGCCTCTGTGATCTCCCCAAATGACAAGTTAAGTTCCTAAACATGACAAGAAATTGAAATTCAATTTGAAAGTAAAAGCAATTTGGTCATCCATAATATTTATTACTATAGCAAACATACTTTGAGGATGGGTAGTCCTTTTAGCACTGCAGCGAGGGCAATAGCCCCTTCAGAGCGGACCAGACAGTCACCAAAGTTGATAACTTGAATGTTCTTTAGATGCTTCAGAGCCTAACAAAGGGGACAAAATTATCCCAAAATGACTTGAAGCCCTACAATGCACTGAAAGCTCTATGTGTATCAGAACTGACCTGGGCCATAGCCAGTGTTCCTTTCTTGGTGAACGTGTTATCATTGAAGTTGAGGACTCTCAGCTCAGGGTTGTGTCTCATGGCTGAGGCTAGAGCCATCACTCCTGTGGAGTTGATCCCATTTTGTGGCATGTGGACCTCCTCGAGGCTTCCCATCAGCTGTGTGCACAAATATTGGTGTCTTTTTTTTTTTTTTTTTTAAATAAAATAGAACATTTTGGGGATATTCCATCAAAGTTATTAAATACGCCCAGGCTTATTCTAAAATCCTAGGCTGAAACTAGCCTCCACTAAATGGAAAAAAAAAAAAAAAAAAAGCCCAGGTCTAGCAGTTCCAATTCAGGCCCTTATGTTTAAACTCAGTGTTTCTTTAGATATTCTTGGAGAGCTAAATTAATTTTTACCTAACTTAATTTGTTCACCCAGTTTGTTTGAGTGCTTGTTACTATGGCAACTATAGAGTCAAATTTGGTTAGTCACGTTCATGGAAGAAAAACTGAAGCTTAAATGAGTCTGGATTTCCCATGGAATACCACCCTTTAGCTAGTGTGTATCAGGTGATGTACCTTGAATGCCTTGGCTAAAGCACTGGCTCCTTCATTTTCCAAGCGGTTTCTTCCTGCAATGAACACTTTCAGTTTAAGAGGTACTCCCTGCGCTGAGGACTCCTGATGGCACTCAATCAGGGCATCAGCCAAGATCTATAAAAATGTTTAGTTATGTTAATGGCAACATCATCACTATCATCATTATCCACAACCTATTCCTACAAATGTAACTAAGTAAGTAACCTTTCCTCCCCCGATCCCCATGCCACAGTTGTTGAGCCGTAGCTCTCTCAGCGTATGACAGGCTGGGCTCTTCAGCAGCTGCTCAATTCCCTTCACACCATCAGGACCAAAAGCATTATCACTGAGGTCCAGCTCAGTGAGCCGGGCCCCTGCACACATGAGTGCACTGCCCAGGGAGCGCTGGCAGAAGAACACACACCAGAAGGTTAACATGTTAACAAGTACACTGCTGTGGTTTTGTTTTACATTTATCATATTTCTTACCAGAGCAGTTGGGATTTCAGAACGCAATCTTCCAGTGAAGATATCACTCCAATAACATTTCTACAGCATCAAAGATAAAACACTAAATTACAGTCTGTGTAAATTTATATTAAAATGAAACTGAGAAAAGAAATGTAAATATAGCAACATTTGAAGATGTTTGATAAATCTATATAATTTAATAAATATAAAGAAATATGATTGTTAGCACTACCTGTAGCAGGTCTTTTTTCTCCAAAACTTTGGCAATAGCTTGGGCTGCCTCCACTCCCAGAGTGTTTCCTTCCAGACGAAGAGCTCTCAGATCTTGGTATTGATCAATTTCTTTAACTAAATCTTCAACTAAAATCACAAAATAAAATATGAAATGTTTAATTTAGTATTACATACATTGTTACTAATATTATGGACCGGGGGTGGGTGGGGTGGCACCTGATTGTTCAGAGTCCAGTTTCAGTCCCAAGCCTTTGAAGCTCAGCTCTCCATCCCCAACATGGGTTTTGGAGAGAGCATCTGCCAGCTGGGCTATGTCGTCTGTGGCCATTCTAACACTGTGTAAACAATGTCAACAAAGATTTCATGAGAATATTTAGGTTTAATCGTTATTGTGCTGATGCTTTCTAAACAGCCAAAGAGCTGTTACGTAACTAAAAGACATCCCTTCATTTTTTATTTCTGTGACGACACAGGTATTAGCTTGAGCGATGCTAACGAAACTCGCTGTTCCAGGTAACGAGATAATTTCTAACAGAACAGTTTTTCCATCGCACCAGGCCATAAAAATCGAGACTGACAGTGAAGAGTAAACATATGTTTGTTTTGTTCTCCAAACTTTACCCCAGAGAAGTGAAAGTCCGAGAGAAACACGCCGATCTCCCTCCAGCCGCGCGCCGGGTCCTGGGGATGATGTCATTACGCACAGCGCGCTGCTGTTCTTCTCCTCTGTTAAGAACCTGTGGAAATCAAGAGAACTTTCAATGGACTGTCGCCACCTTCTGGAACAAACTTTAATCAGAGTAATGCATATTTTAAATAACGGGTGTCCCGCAAAAGACTGGCTTTGAGACCCCCGTAATGAAATGAAAATTGAGGATAACACCTAGATGCCAACAGACAAATTAAATTGTCTTTCTGCCGAAAAAATTTAAAATTGGTTAGTGTTTGCTTATCCATACCTACCACTCCTTGTTTTAAGGTGCACTATACAATTTTCTGGTAGACGGTCCGTTTGCCTCTTGCATATCTCCACAGAGAAGCTTTGCCTGGAATGTTTCACAATATAGCAGCATGGCAACTTATCTCCACAACAAATAGGCGACGCAACAAGGCCAATTAAGCAGATAAGATCTGTGGGAGCCCATCCACTAGAAAAAACTACATAGTGCACCTGTAATGCAACAGCTCAATGCTGTGGTACTTTGGAGTGTCCTCTGTCTGTAGTACTTTGGAGTGTCCTCTGTCTCTGGTACCGCCCCCTGGTGGATACGCGCCACACTGCCCAGTGACTTGTTGCGATCTCGGCGGATTCTTCTGCATTAGCATTAGCATCGTGAGCAAAACAGCTAACGGGGCGAACCAAAGACAGACCGCCCCGCTCAGTCCACACGCCCATGACAAAGAGACATATCTACAGCTATGTACATGGACATTGGCCGACTTGTGATCTAGCTTTATTTTTTCATGTTATCGACCACTGAAACTGTTTGTGGTGCAGAAGGCGCTTGCTAGCTAACTGTCGGTGAGTTATCTGATGCTAACGAGGGGTTTAACTGGGGCTTTAACAGCAAGTAAACCTAGTTTAAGAACTTCTGTTATCTCGATTCTTCTACGATCATGATTCTGACCACTGTGTAATTATGAGACAGTTGCATGAATGTGCACAACTATTGCTAGAGCTAAAATCTTTGACAATTATTGGTTTGTTCATACTGCTAAAGTTGGGGTAACAGTCATTAGCATTTAGCATGGACCACGTAGCCAAGCTGTAACTTTGCGTCTATAACGTCTAGAAAATCAAAATAGATGCTTGCAAGTTTCTTTGAACAATAAAGCCCCGCCTTAATCATCATGAGGCCCTGAGCATGTGGTTTGTTATGATCACTTAAATTAGCACATATTCCACATTAGCATGTGAATCGGGACACCAAATAAGCCCCCAAAGCGTCCATTCACCACAGGCCAATAAAACACCCGGCCGCTGTAAAGGTTAATTAGCGTCATTATTTAGCTGCACCATTTATTAGTATTATGATCAATGTTTATGCAGTTTATGCATGTTTTGATAGTCTTAAGTAAACTTGGTATTTATAACTCAGAACAGAACATGGATCCTGAACGACAGAAGCGAAGAGAAGAAATCCAGAAAGCAATGAGCTTCATACAGTAAGCAGGAAAACATGACATTCTGTATAGTGTCAGTTGACAGGTATTATATATCTGATTCCATCCTTTTCTTCGTCAGGTCCTCATTACCTTTTCCAGAGCCAGAAAATTATGAGGTATCATCTTTTACTTTTACACATTTGTCTAATAGGAAATAATTCTGACCATTTTAGTATGTTCAGTCATGACATGTGTCCCTGTTTGCTTCAGGCGTTCCTGACCCAGCTGGTGTGTAATTTACTGGATGAAGGCAACGCTTGCTTTCGTGATGGGGACTGGCGTCAGGCTTCCCAGCAGTACGGGGAGGGGGTCAGTGTGTCCCGGTATGCCCAGACTGAGGCACTTATTATCCCCCATGAGCTACTGGAAAGCCTCTATGTGAACAGGGCAGCAGCCTTTTACCAAATGGTGAGTAAAACGTCAACAGGTTTTTGTTCAGACATTTCAAGACTCAAAACATTTCTGTAGCTCGGTGAATGTTTTTCTGTTACAGAGGGAGTATGAGCGGGGTGTTCAGGACTGCGACAATGCTTTGTGCGTATCTGAAGGAAGCCGCAGGGCTTTGTACCGGAAAGCTCTCTGTCTCCGAGAGTTAGGACAACTTAGAGATGCCTATGAATGTGGAACCAAATGTCTTCTCACAGCCCCGCATGTATGTCAGCAAAAATGCATTGATATACTTGTAAATCTTTACATGCACTTAAACTAAATTGTTGTCATGTTTCCTTTTACAGGACAGGCAGGTGAGTGATTTGGCTCAGGATTTAGCTACAAAATTGGGACTGAAGGGGCGCAAAGCATATGTAAGCCCTCAGACAGAGTCCACAGCGTCAGACGGAGATGCATCTCAGCCCACTGGAGAGGTGGGTGCTGTTTCAGACATTGATTACTTCTTGTAAATGCAATTAAGCCAATTATGTGTGACTGTGAACAACTGTAGAAAACCATATTTACACTTATAGCAACTTTTAAATGAAAACATATTTTTTATTACAGATGTCATCCAATGGACTGGAATCTTTGGGGGACATTGGATCAGGTACAGAATATAAAATCTATTAATTTCAGTGTGTGTCATTGTTGGATGATAAATTTTGACCATGCGAAGTTTGAGCTGCTCATGTTTTCCTCCTAGCAGACCTATCAAGTGCACAGTGCATCCCTGCTCCTTTAGCCACACCCATCCCAGTCAGTGATGAACCAGCCAGCCCTGTGGCCACCTCTTGCACCGAGCTCCCAGAGAGCCCCAGCAGCCAGGGCCTGGCTCCTATGCAGTACTCTGTGCCTGTGTCAGAACACACAGATGAGTGCAGCAGCAGTATCACAGAGAAGCTGGAAGGTCTGTTGGACTGCATGCCCAAGAAAGTTAGTGAGGTCAGTACATAACGATTACACCCCAGTATTAGAAGGGCCAGGGCAACTAAACGTGGTATTTGTCTGTTTCAGAATCCTGTCCAAGGTGCTATTCCAACCAACCTTCCCAACACTGCAGTGGGTCTCCGTCCTCCGTACTCCCCAGGCCTGTCCTCGCCCTCGCAACAGCTCCCCTCAGCCTTCTTTGGCTCCTCCATCAGTGATATGTCCTCACTAGAGCCTTACTCGCCTCTGGTGCAGAGAGACCAGGGCTCCACCCAGGCGCAGGACGCTCTGGGAACCTTCTCCACCAGTGCCACAGATGGAGAGGGGAGTAATGGGGGTTTGGACTCACTCTCTGAATACACTCTCCCAGGTGGGCAGAACACAGCTTTTATAAACTAGTGCCCTGTAGTCATGTATAGCACCAGGCCCAGACAGAAGTGAAAAATCTTCTCACGTCATTATCCCTGTTGATATGCTCCAGGAGGACGAGTGTGTCCAAGCTTTATTCATGGACTGCGTAACCACAGCTCTGCACATGCAGTGAGTAACACCAAATGTTTGGGGGTTTTGACATTTTATACCCGTGTGCGTGCTTTGCTGCTATTATCCAAGAGATTGTCTTAACTCCTCTGTTCTGTCAAATATTGCCACAGAGACAAATCATATATTTTTGCTTTAAAATTATAGCAATTTTTGCTAAATTTCTTTTCACATTGTGTTTCTCAAGAATGGCCCAGGTGGAACAAACTTATCACTTCTCTCCAGAAATCCTCTGGCAGCCACACATGAGTTTCGACAAGCCTGTCATGCTTGTTATAGTCGAATAGGTTGGTTTGAATATTCACTTTGCTAGAAGAGAAAATGACCCTATGCTAAACAAATGTGACTTTTACTCAGGCCCACGAGTGATGGACTATAAATATCAGCCAGAGGCAGCACACCGCTGTAAGAGAGACGTGCTGCTGTGTCGCCTAAGGAACACGGACGACCCCACATGGAAGAGAATCAGACCACGGCCTGCTCGCAACAACTTCCTTGGGGCGTTTGTTCTCTGTAAAGGTATTTGTGTTTGAACTGTGCTTAGTTGTTATGAGTACACTGTTATGATTATGTGTGATGGTCTACACAGAGGTACAGGAGCGGCAGGAGTGTCAGTATGGGGAGAACTGTACATTTGCCTACTGTCAGGAGGAGATCGATGTGTGGACTCAGGAGAGGAAGGGGGCTCTGAGCAGAGAGCTTCTGTTTGACCCTCTGGGCAGCACGGAGAGAAGGGCTCTCAGTGTCACCAGGCTCTTGCAGCTCCACATGGGCATGTTCATGTTCCTCTGTGAGGTACGCCAAGACAAATTCAGTCTTTATCAGAATCACTGCATTATCATTGCTCCTGACAATATTCTGTTTATGCAGGAATGTTTCGACAGTAAGCCCCGCATTATAAGCAAACGCAGCAAAGAGAATTTGTCTGTCTGCTCCAACCTCACAGCTCGACACCCATTCGATGATAACAAGTATGTTCAGATGCCCAGTTAACTTTCTGAACCTAACCTTAACCTTTTGTTGTTTTTGGGGGGATATTAGAATGCCTTCCTTTGTGTTGGCAACAGACAAAACACATACACCACTGCTTGTCAGTAACATAAGTTAATCTGTACACGTGGACTCTTCCTCATCTGTTTTTAGGTGCCTGGTGCATGTGGTGAGGTCAGCCAACGTGCGCTACAGTAAGGTGCGGCCACTGCACCCGCTATGCCAGTTTGATGTGTGCCGTCATGAGGTGCGCTATGGGTGCCAGAGGGAGGACAGCTGCTCGTTTGCACACTCTGTCATTGAACTCAAATGCTGGGTACTTCAGCAAGACACTGGTGGGTTTGAGGACTTTTCTTTCATCTTAAGTATAGTTCATGTTAGCTGATTTTTTTTGTTTTGTTTTTAGGTATTACTCATGAAGAGATGGTCCAGGAGTCAAAGCGACACTGGCAAAGGCTCGAGCAGAATGCACAGAAGCAACAGAAGGTGAGGAAGAACTGTCACTAAAACACTAAAAGAAGCAACCGAATGAAGATGGAAAAATAACTTACAATGTTTTGCAGCCCATCCATTATCACCCAAGCAGCAGCCTGCCCCCTGCTGGAGTGGGGGCCATGGGCAGCAGCAGTGGCGGGGTGGATGGTGTGGGCGGTGGAGGTGTAAGCCCAGTGACTGCAGTTGGAAGTCTGGGAGGAGCAGCGAGAGGGCGTCCCCTTAACCTCAAAATGAAGTTTGTGTGTGGCCAGTGCTGGAGAGAAGGGCAGGTCAATGAACCTGACAAAAACCTCAAGTACTGCACGGCCAAGGCCAGACACAGGTGACTGGAATGTCATATTTTATGTTGCATACAGTTGTAATAACAATGGAAATATTTTATCTGAGGACAGATTATTGTATTTGTTTATTTATTTAAAAAAGCCATTACATTATAGTTCATAAGCAACTATTTTATTTTTTATAGCTGGACCAAAGAGCGGCGAGTCCTGCTGGTGAAATCATTTGAGAAAAAAAAATGGGTTGTTGTTCGGCCTCTGCCCTTTTCCCGCACGTATCCTCAGCAGTACGACGTGAGTACTCCCTTCTTCAGCCCTTCAGCCCTTCAGCCCTTCAGCTCACATGCTGAGAGCAGCTGACTGATCACTGCACACTGCAGCTTCTCCTATTGTTACACTAGTATGTTTGTGATATTGATAATAGTATAAAAGGATAATTTCTTTTACTATTACAAAAGAGATATTTCCCAGTCAAATAATGAAGAAATCTTATCTAATCTTAATTACTTGATTCTAGTTGAGAACATTTTTTATCTAGCAAAACATTAGTTGTTTTTAGGCCTGGAACCACCCCTGTGCCCATTAGATTTAGCTATTTACTTTTGGTTTGGTCTTCACATGCATCACGCATCATTTGCCTCAAACACCGCACCATGACCCGTGTGAGAGGCCATTAGATGATCGTCAAACTTATTTCCCTGACAACATGCTTATATTAAATTGATATTAAGCTGATCCAAATTTCCTTGATGAACGTATTAATCATATCAAACATATCAGATAAATATACATGATCCGAGTGCTTTGTTACTCAGTTCCTAGCACTTTTACATGCACTGTTGACTGTGTAGGACAGCTGGGCTCACAACACAATCGCTCTGCTCCAGGGTGCGAGTGGAGCCGCTCCAGGGTGCACGTGGAGCTGCAATCGAGACCACCTGTTTTAAACGCTTTTTAATCGGCCTTTCACTGCGGCCCAGAATGAAACTGTTCATACTGGCCCAAGCTCTCTCTTGGAACGGATGCCATTTCACGTGGACTAGTGGCAGTGCGAAAACGACCTTAGTGTTCATATTTGATAAAGCCAGTTCTCACATTTTCTTTGCAGATGTGTGTTCATGTGATGAAGCAGAAGAAGTGCCATTATATTGGAAATTGCTCGTTTGCCCACAGCTTGGAGGAGCGTGACGTTTGGACCTATATGAAGAACAACAACTGTAAGGGCCCCTTTTACATACACACAACATGCCTATTAATGCTATATCTCCTGTTTGGTTCTGATTAATCGGAACCCCCTTGATTGCACAGTGGGCACTGATTGTAGTGCTCTTGAATAATACTTGGTGTCTCATCACTTGTGCAGTAAGGGACATGCAGCAAATGTATGAACTGTGGCTGCAGCTTACCAATCAGAACCGCCGCACAGAACACTCCGCTGTGACCCCACCCCCAGAAGACAAACAGGTCACAATAACAGCAGACTACACAGACGGCATGGTAAGACTCTCATTGACTAATAAACCTTAATACAAGAAAAGAAGAGCTACATCTAAGTCTAATTGATGTAATAATTTGCTTCTAGGCTGGTAGGAGAATGTCAGATGGGGAGGACCTCTGAATGTTCTTGCTGTGGTAAAACCGACGGAGATGTAATCTGACACTTGTGTGCTGTAGCAGCCTGCTGTTCACTGTCCCCCCCACATGTGTGACACAAGACACTTTCACTTAACACGACAAGTCAGAAGCCACCTGCGTCAGAGGGGCTAAAAGTACTGTGGCTTCAGAAAGTTTTCAGACTCATTCCTTCAGTTTTTGTGGTGTAGCTGGTTACAGAAATGTGGGAATTACAAGAAATACCTACACAATGAAAAGACACAGTGATAATTATCCTTCTAGTGTAGGCAGTTGGCATAGAGTATTATTATTTTTGTTCCAACTACATAATAAAACAGATGCACCTCTGAATACTTTCTGAAGTCATTCTACAACATAATTATCATGAATGTACCACAGTTACACAGCAGCTTTAGGTTTGCCCTGGCCAAGTGATTGAAAGAATAGCCTTAGCCAGTGCTCTATGGACTGAGCGCATCTCCACCAGGCCCTCTTTTAAATGTTGGCAGCACTGAGGCTACCCTAATGTCACCACGCTGGCCGTGGTCCTTGCTCATGTTAGTTAGCAGTAATACATAATTTGTTGTAGCATTCAGTGCTAGCACCAGAGGCATTGTGAAGAGATTATTGATGGATTGTACAATCATTTTTAAACTGCGTCAATTCTACTCTTTTATTCCTTCATAGGAACATTGCATCAACATGACTTCCACCTAATATTGTTAATGGGAGTTGTACTTATATTTTCTGCCATATTGGTGGGCACCTCTGAATGTTAAGTTATGATGGGCCTTTTAGATGAAGTGGTCAGTCTTTTAAAGCATTGTTAAGGCTTATAGTTGAATGTAAGTCTACTTACAAAACCAAGTGTGTGTGCGCAACATCACTGACCCTCCCCTTTCCCCTCACACAGCAAAGACAACAAAAGACGTGTCTAAAAATACTTCACCTAACTTGAAGAATGGTGTGTTTGAAGTATTTGTAATAATAATGAAGATGATGTTCTAATTAGAAAATCTGAAAGCGATTAATAAGTAATTAAAAAAATTTATGAACCGAATGATGTTCAAAGGCCAGCCAATCTCCTTTATCCTACACATGGACGGTTTCCTGGACACAGCCTCTCACTCCCTGTAGGCCACTGTAAAGTATTGTTGTGGAGAAACTGTTGGCAGAAAGGGATTCCCACATGATCTAGTGCCTGATCCAGCTCAAACGCACACGCAGAAGGGCAGGAAATCTGAGGCCATTATATTCTTGTCTTTAGCGGTTTAAGTCAGACTGTAGAGCTATATTCAAAAACTTATTCACACATTTATAGTATACATATTTACATTTAATGGCATACTACTAATAATAATTGATAACTTAGCAATTAAGCTTAATAAATATATAACCAGAAAAAGCTGTATTGATTACATATAGAACACTGAGGTATAATGCTATAAGATATGTATTGCTGAACTAGTTGACTATAGTTATGTTTTCTTAAGATATCTTCTCATTTTGTAATTTTTCTGTCTGTGCGGGTTGTTCCAGTCAAGAGTTAAAATTCATCTTCACACTTTAATTTGATATTAGTATCGTATTTCTATTTTGTGAATAGGGTGAACATTTTTAATTTCATATGCTCAGTTTTTGCTATTGTTGAAGGTGACATTTCTTTACTCACCAGTTTGGCCACTAAAGTTGATCTCTGTATTGTAGAAAATTGAACCCCTAAATGATTGTTATTTCAACTTTGATCTGGCATTTTGAGGACTGTTCCCCATTCCAAAGATATATTTTAATTTTAAATTCTTAATTGCTATGGCAGCGGTCCTAATTTTTCATCATTCTGACAACCATTGATAGATGACCTTGTCTGGAACAGCCCTGGTGTTTCTTTGAGGGTATTACTCATAGTATAATGATAAATATATAATGACTATGATTGCTATTTCTATTTCTCTGCTATATACTATCTATATATATATTATGTATGTTAATTGCAATGTATAACTCATTCTTTATATATGTAGCCATGTATGAATATGATATCTTAACTCTTAAAAATGTGTCCGTGTATGCAGCGTTTCCAATTAGAGGCAGTGGGCTAAAAGGACAATTCAGAAATCTTTACAATATTTTATTATTATTCCACCACCTCACTGCCTCGCTGTACATTTTCTTGCCATTGACTAGATGTAGAAGCGACTGCATACACAGATCCTTATATACTCCCATATAGCGCCTTATTCGATATATTCAACCTATAAGATGATACATACCCTATTGTATAATCCTGCTTACTATATACAGTATATGATATCTGATACCTATTATAAAACTTAGACTCCCATATAAGGTTATTTAGATAAGGAATGAATATGTTTTACTGTGGCTGTAAACATTTGTTGTGGTCATTTGTCCCCAACTATAGGTTATTTTATGTAGGGCTGGGCAATAGGACAAAAAAAATGTATTTTGATTCAAATTTATTTTGTCAAATAAAAAATGGCTTTCAGTATTAATTTCCTGAACAGACTTGCCGTTCAACACAGAAAATAGTCCAATTTTGTCCTCCTCCCAAGTTTGAACCCTGCTCGAAACCACATTTTTATTAAAGTGGAACTCAACACTAAATCCACTTTTTTTTTGCTACTAAACTGCATATACAGTATGGTGTTTTAATAGCATTATCTACAGTCATGTTTTGGAAATTTTTGTTCAAACTTTTGAGAAGTTGTTGACATCACACAGGACTGCCCTAATTACTTCCTAGTGTTACTGATTGCAAACACCAGGCTGCAGGGGTGGAGTTTGTAGCGTGGGGATACCTGTTAGGCCAATCACCTCTAGACGCCACCCCTCTTCCTTTCACACTCTTCTTCAGTCCTTCAGGCACTTCCCAATTTAGCAGCTCTATGGCTGTGTCTCATTTCTATTTCCTTGCTTCCTTCTCCTTGATTCCTCTCCTTAATCCTCCATTTTTCAGCTGTTAATCAAATATGTCATTTTAAGTGGTGTCCCAAAGAAAACCACGGAATGCAGGAGTAAACATGAGGGAGGCTTTAGGAGGCAGACATCAGATATTGGTCTATCTTCTCTCCTCTCTGTGTCTCCTCCTCTCACCCATATGCTGCAGAAGCAAGGAAAGAAAACAAGGACAAGGGAGGAAAAAGAAATGAGACACAGCCAATTTGTAACAATGGTGTAGGTGGAGTTAAGGCATTTAGTCCCACTTTAAGACTCAAGCATGTCACTGACAATTAGAAATGAATCTTGATTAAAATTTGATAAACTGCCCAGCCCTAACTTTATGCCAAATATTGAAAACTATTTTCTAATACCTTGGATTTATTTTGATCAAATATTTATGTTCAGAGATGGTGTTAGGCTAAGGTCATGACAAACTGAAGAGCCATTTAATTTCAACACAATTACCTCTACAGCTTAACAGTGGTTCCTTTTAATGATCTTCTCATTTTATATATTACTTGTCATTCATAGACTCAAATTCTATATGGTCATGACCCAGCCAACAGCCACAACCATATTTCTGTGTTTTTTTAATTAATTTTTTCCCCCCAAACCAAGTATTGCAAGAAGGGTCTTATCAATGACATACTTTGTGTACCGCAAAATTTTTATATTTTCGTTTTTTTGTTTGTTTGTTTGTTTTATGTTCCCCTTTGATGGACCATGAATGATCACAAAAAATGGACCAAATCTCTTGGAAGTGAAATAAAGAGATTCAGTTATTGTCTGCCCTGTTTCCTCACTCTTCATTGGCCAGCATGGGTTGTCCTCCGTTACATTTACATGTGTAACTTTTAAAGGAATTGTACCTTTCTGAGTACGTTGCTAGCAGCATACTTTGACTCCTGCTTCATTAATATTTTTACTAAAGTAACAGTACTCTTAATCACAGTGGGAAAAGTAACCAAAACTTTTAGTACAAAGTGACAAAAGCTTTATGATGAGTGTAAGTCTCATTTTTGTTTAAAATACCAGCATTTGTGCATTATTATTATTATTATTACTATTATTATTATTATTACTATTATTATTATTATTTAGTGTTTTATCCTTCAAATCCTTCAAATTTGTTTAACTTTAAATTATAAATCAGATATTACGTCCTGACAGTTACTCTTTAAGTTGTTCTTACCTGAGTAGTAGTTTTCCTCAAATACTTTTTTACTCTTACTTTAATAATTATTTTTTAATTAGTAATGCTACTTTTACTTGAGTACATTTTTTGGATTCTACACCCGCCTCCGTTCATTGGTTAAGCTTTTCTACTCACTCTTGTCCTTGACCAGTGGCGTGATGGTAGTTGTGGCAGTGAACATTGCTCTATTTCAACATGGCCACGTTACACTAACAATAAAACTATAAATGCATTATAATATTTCTATCAGTAAAAGAAATTATTCTAATCTAGATGAATGTTTAGAGCAGTAGATCACTTGTCTCTACACGCCTGAGGGCCACATTTCTTTTTCTGAAACTCATTATTTAGGCGTCACGAGTCCTTAAAGAAACACGTGTCCTCTTAGTCTTATAAAAACACTGTCACTTCACGTGTTGGCTGTCAACTGTGAACCAACAAACACTGTTCACCTTTTCATCTGTCTCTAACATGTAGACAATACATACTGTACTTCAGGCTACAAGGCACGGTCAGCAGACAGACCCAGCAGACCTATGCAACAGGTGACTGTTGTCTTATCCACGGATGACTTTGTCCATGCAGTGTCAAACTCGTGTCACTTTTATTTATTATTATTGCCAGTGTTGGGGAGTAACGGATTACATGTACCGCCGTTACGTAATCAGAGTACAAATTATGAGTAAGTATTCCGTTACAGTTACTGTTTCAATGAGTGGTAATTGGATTACAGTTACTTTGCTGAAATAAGTGGATTACAAGGCGGTATTTTCCTGTTTTCACATTTTGTGCTACATCCCATTTATTTATTTTATTATTTCGGTAATTCCACTCATTGCCGGAAACCCAAACAGAAGGCGCGCAATAAGAGCGATGTAAACGTCATGTTAAAGTTGGCGGTGTCAGTCACACAGTGGAAGCAGCAGTGCATTGGTAAAAACGCATGTGTCTTAGAAATTCTTCTCCCGATGTGAGATATATATATAAAAAAACAAATATAAAATCGCCTACAACTTAAATGTGAAACAGGAGCTACTGGCATTGGTGAAAACAACCTGCATAGACTCATAATATCTGCACTACTGTCCTATAATGACCTGCGACATGAGGGGACACACACACACAAACACACACAAACACACACAAACACAAACACACAAACACACACCTTCATCATCGTCATCAACCTGAGAACCCGCGGACCACGTCTTCTTCCGTAGTTACAGCGCGGACACCGCCGTCTCGTGCGCCGCGTGTGGACTGTGTTTTCTCGCGTAAACCGCACTTCCTCCTGTGCGCCTCTAAACCAGAACTAACACCAGGACTAAACCAGGACTAACCAAGGACTAAACCAGGACTAAAGCAGGACTGAACCAGGTTTAAACTAGGACTAAACCACGACTAAACCAGAACTAAAGACCTGGTCTAGACCTGGTCTAAACCAGGTCTAAAATCAGGAGTAAACCAGGTCTAAAAATCAGGACTAAACCAGGACTAACCAGGACTAAACAACATGACACCTAACAGTAGGTTGACATAATTTAAGGTGATCTCATATAAAAAATAATTTCTCTATCAATAATATTTTTTAATATGGTGAAGGAAAGGCTGATCTTGTTACTGTCTTTAAACAGACAAAACCTCTTATATTAAGATATCGTGGTCTTTGTTTCTCTACAGCAAACAGTTGCTTATTCATGGAGACTTGGGCTCAGACAATTTGAAGACAACAGACAAGAATTTTCAGGATGTGGTTGCTACATTCATGTCGTTTAAAAAAACATGACAATATCAAGTAATCCAAAGTAATCAGATTACGTTACTCACTTTAAGTAATTTAATGGATTACGTTACAAACTACATTTTGGGGTGTGTAATCTGTAATCTGTAGGGGATTACATTTTAAAAGTAACCTTCCCAACTGAACTATTGCTCATTTCACTCTCGATTACACTTTTCTTCTCAGGCGGGCAGAAAGCTGATTGTTTGATTTCCGATTATATGCACGTAAGATTAAGCATTATTAAAATTAATTATTGTCATTCTCTATGTTTATTGGAAATGCTAATGTAAAAATAAATACATCCCCGGCTCTCCTAAGTGTGCCACTAGAGAATTTGCAGGTAAAATGACAAATTAACCTGAATATTACACAACATTATGCTACATTTAAGGCCACCTAGTTTCTAGTAATATGCGCGTGTGGATTGGCTGTCTTTTCAGTCACTGACAGCTCCACTGACCAAGCAGACCCTTTTCCGTCTATTCCTAGGGTAACTCGCTGCTGACTGGCTCAGCTGCGCAAAAGGGGGCTGTCCTTGTTAAATAACTAGTGCATAGAGCTCAACGTTCATTCTGTAACTTATTAATTCTCTTTTAGACTGTACAGTCTGTGCTGCACACGCGTGAGTGTTGCTCACTTTGGCTGCTTCAGGGAAGCTCTGTATTTTCTGTGCACCCCTTTAGAACCGGACGCACTTTGGGCCCAATGGAGGTAAACATGACTTCAGAAATCCCGGAGGTATTCCGAGCTCTGCTGGAGCACCCCTTCACGCTCCCCAACTTCGATGTGCACGGTGAGTAAGGCCAGAGCAGACGGTGTTTGCTGTGTGCGCTGATGTGTGGCACAACTCATATAATGCAGATTCTGAGCAGAGAATTCTCTGTTTAAAATCAACATATTCAAATATGTCAATGTTTACAAGGTTTTGGGACAAACTGGAGCTAAGCTTACATAAGAGTCAGCTGATTCAGGAATGTGTGGTAGCCCAAAAGCCACGAATCAACAAGTTTCATAGTCCTTATATTTGTTATATTAGACTAAAAGCCCCATTTAGGCTAATTTAGGTTACATGCATACATTTGCAAGTGGTCACATTACACTTGCAATAAAAGCAATGATAGATACATTCATTATTGAGTTTCATAAAGCCTATAATATTTTGACAACTGTGCAAATCATATGAAAAAGTGTATGTATGTGTATATGTATGTACAGTGACAGGTACGGTTGTAGTACCAGTATTAAAAACATTTGGAGGGCAGTACTCACAGTAGTAGGCTATAAGTGTGTAGCAGTACTCAAAGTACTGGTAAACATACAGTAATAGCATCAAAAGCAAAGTAGCAGTGTAGTAACAGTAACTGATATAATAAAACATTACTACACGTCATCCACTCATATATGAATCTAAAGAACTGTTAGTGCAATTGTAATGTTCTCATCTATAATTCATTAGTTAATTGATGTTTGGGCTTTCATCTGCCAGACCAGGGCCTGTGTTATGGCTAAGGGTCTTTGTAGCGTCTTGGTTATGTAACAGTTTTATCATTAGCGCAGGGGAAACTGTGCCACCCCATTTAATACTTTTCATAACCTGGTTTTCATGTCACTTTTGTTTGTTGATCTTGAGGTGTCCTAGATTGGAAGACAGATGGGATGTGTGCGTAAGGGTAATCAGATATATTCACAAAAATTATCCAGTTTGGTTGATATTGAATTCTGAGAATTGCAAACACTTGTTTAAGCTTACATTTAAAGGGGCTATATTTATGCTATTTTTTAATTTATATTATAAAATTCATCCAAAACATACTTGGAGTTGTGTTTTGATTCATTCACACATGTTTAGCACACAAACCCTGCATATTTTGGATGAGTTTTTCTCTCAAGCAGAAAACACTTTGTTCCACCTTTCGTGATCTATTACTTTAAACTCCATACACATAGAATCATATGAATAATTACAGCTCTGGAATTTACAATATCTATGAAACAAAAGGTAAGAAGTAGCTGTTAACTTGAAAATTATGGCTTCAAACTATGACATCACAAGGTGGAACAGAGCATTTTGAGCTTTGGAGATGTAGATGTTAGGGTTGCAAAAAACACAACAAACACAACTCCGGGTATGCTTCTGATGAGGTAACAACATAACAAGCTCACGAGTCAATTTTGAGCAAAATAGCACCTTTAAGATCAGTAATCAGTAACCAATAAGACAAAGAAGGGAGTTGTATGGTGTATGGATCGTGCTTAAAGTTCATGTCATTTAATTGGTATCTGCAATCAAATTGAGGGTAGCACGTGTGTAGACATGTGCATACTTCACCTTTTTGTGGTCTAATAAATACACCCATAATTACGTTTTCTGAGATTGTACTGCAGATAGTAAGAGGAGAATAGAGCAATATAGAGGTCAAGGATTAAATTGCCTAGAATAATTCTCCCAAAAAGTCTTGCCAGCTGCTACGAGGTCACAGCATTAAACCGAAGTCACACCACCTGTGTAGCCATAGCAACCCTGAAGTAACTTGAGTAAACACTTGAGTAAATGGCCATTATGAGGGCTCTGACATTATCACTGCTAGCAAATTTGCTCCAGACTAACAGATTTGGGCTAATAGCTGCTTAGGCCATAAAAAAGGGAAATCAATCAATACAATAATAATAGAGTAACAGCCTGTTTCTATGCAATTATAATCTGCTTCTGATATAGATCAAGACAGTTCAGCAAAGGTGTGATTTCTTACGGGATCGATACCACAAGACTGATTGAATGATTCAAATGAGTATCTACTTTCTACAGGCC